CATGTTGTTGGAAACATGCTGGAGTCTGCACTTATGTTTAGCGCGTGGACGAAATATTATGAATAGAGAAAATGGGGGATAACGGGGGGGGGGGGAATGACAGCGAGAGGGGATACGAGTGAGAGAGGTGGAGGAAACAAGAGAGAGAATGAGAAGAACAAAGAGAGAGAGAAGAATTGTTAGAGACGGGGAGACTCTGAGTAGAGAGAAGACTAAAGTGAGACTAGAGAGAGGAGGAGCGGAATGTAGAAGAGATAGGGTGAAAGAGAAAAAAGTGGTAAATACTCGTTACACAGCTAAACGAACGTTGAGCACAGAAATGCTTGTATTGTCAATTAAGCGGTCGGCCTGTCAATACATTCTGACTTCCGTTTTGAAACTGACTTTCTAACTTTATAAATATATTAATATAATTGTACTTCGTCCGCTTGTGCTGCTATATAATATTATGATCGGATAACAGATTTAGGACATGTAAAGTGCATCAATTTTATACCGACCCGTACTGATGTGTGTGTGTGCCAGTAGTGTTAGTCGCGTGCGTTTACCATACAATAAACTACGACGATTCAAGTGTCACGTACCGGGTTACTATATATATATATATATATACCCGGCAACCTTCGGGCGAAATATGGGAGCAACTTAGCAATATGCGTGTGAACATATTTAGCACATGTGCGCTCGTGTGACAGCTTTTAATGAGCGTATTGCTACCGTACATATTAAGCAGGTATACTTCGCCTCAATTGCTGGTTACATATGCATCGAGCACTGGTATATTTAGGTTGAAAGTCGTTCGCCACATGTGGTGGAAATATGTTAAGAACATGCGATCGGCGTAAGAAAACAACTCTCATTATTCTCCCCATTATAGTCGTATTTCACACGTAAAACGCTAGTAGCTTAGCACATGTGCCGCGGTACATATAATATCGGCTTACACGCGAAAACCTTCCTACGTCCGGCTTTGTTCTGTCGGAGCGATGACGGGAGCTGAGACGATGTTTGGGCCAGCGTGGCGATATCATCTTATTCACAATATACATCGCAGTGCAACCAAACTATTTAGTATTATGTTGCTACGTAACACCTACTACTATTGTCAGGTTGCTCTGGTATTACACTTATAGTTACGACACTGAGACTCACATATGCGTGTAATATATATAATTATTAATAAAGATATAGCAGTCAAATCTAGGCATCAAATTTAGAAGTTTGAACGCTTGAAAAGTTTGATATCTGGAATTCTTTCCTATCGCTAGAGTTAAGAATAATGTTGCGCTTTCTCACGCTACCCGTGACGATACGGTTACACGGCACGCGTACACTGCCTACAGCCAAGGGAAATCTCCACCTAGAATATTCTAGCATATTAGCATGAAGAATCGCCGCAGTCTCCGCCTGGAAACATTACCGCTCTCGAACGTTTAAACACTAATTAGCAGCTGAATTATCTGCTACTAGTACGCCACCATCTGCAACTCAAGCTGCTCTTAATGGGTTGGATCTACGTGCTTACGGCTAGCGTCATCGTCACAGAGCGAGTTGCTGTCGTGGCTAGCCACCGCGCACACATCGCCCGCAAACACGCGCGTTGTTGTCGCTTGAGAAAACGCTCAACGAAACAGGTAAACAAAAGGCTGCCGGCTGGTCGCGGGAGTGCGAGGGAGGACTCACGTCGCGTTGGCACAACCTAGCTCAGCGTGGGAACGTGCCAGCTAGGTGTCCGAGTTTACATAGCAATATCAGGCGACCGCGCCGACGCAGTCGCCAGCCTAGGATGCTCACCCTCCTCCTGCCATCACCATGGCGATAAGTGAAGGGTTAAGATTAAGATTCACATTAACACTAAGATTAATATTAACATTAGGATTCGCCCACCGCGCGGATACGATTGACCGCAGCTCGATGGAATAGTCATATATGGAGAGTCCAAATATGGGTATCGATGTTGGTCTCGCAGTCTGGTCGGGCTAGTTTGACCGCAGATAATTAGATTGTCGACAGTTAGATTTTAATCACGCGTGTTGGGGCATTAACCCAGAAAGGTATATGCGCGGAGAAATGTAATCGTGGCATATTAAATGGATAATCAACAATATGGTGTATATTTCATTGGTGAAGGAATAATATGGGAAAAATTGGCCGGCAATACTCCGGTCAGGCGCATCTGAATTCTAGCACGCAATGTGTCAGTTATTGCTTTACATTAACCTCCCTCCCTAGCTATTGATACAATTTTCAACCTCAACCACTCAAGTTTGACGCGAACGTAAAAGAGTGCAAGAGTTAATGCAAAATAGTGAGAGCAAGTGCATAATTTCGAATACAAAAAGTAATAACAAAACGCAATAAACGCAGATGCACATGTCACGCAGTAGCTACTGTAACTAGTAGAATTGACTGCACATTTCTATCATCAACTATAAAGTAGCGAGCATTAGCAATGTTTCTGCACTTACCATGCCGGCACAGTTGGTCTTGTTCGTCAGCTTCACTTTGCTGAATGAGACGGCATCTTTCATCCAGTGGGCGCCAAAGTTCGGAGACTCCGGATGAATATAGACACTGTTGGGAGCGGGCGGTTCGGGTTTGCCCCCGGGCACCCACTCACCGTTTACGTACTTCCACCTGTGACTGTCAACCTGGAACGCGACACTGTGTCATTAATTGTCAAATTTAACAATTTTATATTATTACGATATATTTATTATATTATGTATGTATATATTATTACAAAAACTTATAGCGATGCGAACAATTTATCTATCGAGTTTTTAAGACGTACATGCAGTCTTAGTAAAGGTTTTCTGGGCGACATAAAAATCACTGCACTTCTCTATATTCATAGATCTTCGTTGATTGATATTAGCGATACGACACGTGAACTGAGTTGACACACGAATACGCGTGACATTTCTTGATTTTAATGCAATTTTTCCGAACGCGCCGTACGTGTGCTTACGTACCTGCACGAAATCAACAAGGATCGAATACATCGCCTCCGGGTCAAGTCCAGATATAGACGCTCGGAAGACGGGGAACATGCGTCTGTAAGAAACGATGAGAAGAAGATATAAAAGATCTGGCCCGCCATTTTGTGCGTACTCCGTGCTCCTGCTATACGGAGTCAAGATTCAGGGCGTGTAAAACTGTTTCAGCGTGGACATTGCCGGGAATAGCTGTAAAGGCGAATAGGCACTATGAGGTCCATATAACATCGTAGTTATATTGACGCGTGAATAACAACACTTCACATTCAAACACAGACAGAATGATAAATGTGTCAACGCGTCGCATTAGTCCACGTCCGCACTCATGCTACTAGTACTAGTGCGTTTGGGACATGGAATTGAGGAAAATATAAGTACATAAAATAGATATATAGCTGGATAGATATAAACGCACGATCATAATTAAGTCTTCTTTAGTATAATTTATAAATATATATATAAACCTCTAAATTACGCACAATAAATCGCCAGCAAACGAAACCAATACTGTTAAAACTCAAAACTCTGCTGCGAAAATTTGCACCATTAACATAACGCGGAGGAAAGTCATCTACATCTGAACGGTAGGGTGGCGAGAGAATAAGACGTGAATTCGAAAAACTACCTCTCCTGGTAGCGGGGAACATACGAATTCGACAAATCTAAAGATACTCGTCCATCTAGCTCTACCGGGGGTGGGGAAATAATAAGACACGAATATGAAACGTACGCGAGCCACCCAACTCTCCCGAGGGTGCAAAGAAATCTGGAAGTCAGCTTATTCTGAAGTCTAACTAACTAACTAACTATCTCGTTAGAGGGGTGGGGGATAGATAATGTGATAATGTGATCAGAGTCGAACCTACCTGCCGTTCTTCGTCACGATCATCTCGTTCGTCAGCACGTCGAACTTGCTCCACAGCTCCTGGTCCTCGAGGCTCACGCGGAGACGTCTCTCGGTCGGGTCGCCCTTCTCCTTGCCGGCGCTCAGCTCGTTGTCTACGGCTCGCAGCAGATGCGAGAGCGGATTTGCCCCGTCTCTCTTCATGGCTCCGACGTCCTCGGGTTCGCACTTCATCAACATTCGGCACGTGAAGAAACTCGGCGAGCGATCGTGAAACGGCGGCGGCGGCGTTGACGATGGCAAGTAGACGTGCGGGCAGCGAAGAGGCACGCGGGATAACTTTGCACGTGTGTGGAACGTTTGCAGTTCTGCTTGTGAACGGCTGTGTGTGAACGGCAAGGCAGCGCGGATGAGAATACTCAGGCTGCGCGACGGGCTAGGTGTTCTTATAAGCAGCCGAGCAACAATAGCGGACCGACTTTGATGTTGCCGACGATGGTGTCGTCAGCGCAACTCCCAGCCAATCGTGAGCCAGAGTTGTAGTGTGGGGCGGGGTCTACGGCTGGGAGTCGTGGGTTTATCGGTGGGCCGGCCCAGCGGGCGGTGTTCGCCAGAAGTTAAATGAGTTTCGTGACAGGTTTAAAATGAAGGCTCCGAATTGCTCGCACCCGTTCCGCGTCTCGCGTTCGATATGTAATTAAATTAGAAGAAAATACTGCTCCCCCCCCCCAGTAGAGATATGCTAGTATACCCGTTCTTACGTATTTTGGTTGACGTATCACAACTTTTTGTTTATTCAACAACGGCGCCGCCAATTTTCTATCAACCCCGTTTGATCCGATCCGATTGATCCGATCCGATTGATCCGATCCGATTGATCCGAATTGAACACGATAAGTTTAATATCTCGCTATTTCACAATTCCTTGCTTCCGTGTCATTTCGTGCTAGCATGCGACGGTGAGCAATTATAGCTATAGGGAACAGTAATACTCCATCCCGGATAACACTGTGCGTGATATAGCGACACCCACTCTGATGATTATATATATAGGTATGCATGTGCGTGCCTGTGAGTGTGCGTCCGTGCGTGTGTATGTGTATAAAAGAAAGAGAGAGCAAGAGAGAGAGGGAGTATATACTCTCAGCAATTATTATTGTTTGCGTGTATGTGTATGTGAGAGCGAGAGAGATACCGTATTTTCATCAATTACTATTGTATGCGCGCGCACGCGTGTGGTTGTATGCGCGCGCACGCGTGTGCGAGTGTACTTAGTGTATATATATATATAGATATAGGGTATATATATATATAGATATAGGATATATATATATATATATATATATATGATAAGATAGATATATATACATGTGTTATTTACGCTGGTCATCTGCACATACTACGTTTAAATTGAAATAATAAATGTATTATTTAACATATGTATATACAAATATTTGCGCTTTATGAGCTCAGAAAATTCGTGAGGACGTTTTGGTAGCTGAATGAGAAAACTGGCGGCGTTGATTCTGCATTCCTGGTTCTGCGTCGCGCGCACACCCCACCACCTGCATCCTCGCAGCGTCCACCGGCGCGGTCTCCGCCGAAATATCACCTCGCCATCGTCTCGAATTACCGCGCCGCGGTGCGTCCCACCCTGCTCGCCAGAAATCAGGTGCAGCTCTTTCGCTACCTGGATAACATTGTGCAACGTCGACCGGGGCTCTGTTTGCTTGCGAATTGCTCACAGGCTCTCTCTCTCTCTCTCTGCTCTCTTCTCTCTCTCTCTCTCGTTCCTGCGCGCGGCGTGCAGCGTGGAACAATACGCCCGTGCACTCGCCGTAAAGGACCCGCTGCCACCTCACCCACCCCGGCCGCAGCAACGCCTTACGACGAAGGCACGGAGCGCACTCGGTAAGCCGACCGTAGTTAGTTAACGCGGGCGAGCCGGCATCCCTGTGTAACACTTGAAGACTCCTGCCGGCCTTGCATTGACCTGAGCGGAGAAGCGTCATCAGCTGGCATATGCTCTCTCTCCCCCGCGCAGCGCAGCGGAGAGAGCGTGGAGCAATGGAGAACAGTCCGCTTGATTTCTCGTTAGTCGGCGGCGAAAACAATGCGTCAATAACGACGCGGAACGAGAGATAATAGCGAGCAAAAATCACGACCCATTCAGCGACGGATGCGCGAGGCGTGGGAACGTGACAGCTCTGCTGCTTGTTGGCATGGCAATATGTGCCCGATCTCTCCCCTGCTAATATCGACAGAGAAGAGGAGCGAGCTTGGCGGAGAGTCGAATAGAGACGGCTCCCGACTTTATTAGATAGAGCAGCGCTGACGAGCGGCTGTAAAATTATCGGCCGATGGCGGAGGACATCTCTGTCGGCAAAGTTCGCCTGGGAAAATATGCGCTCGCACGCCGCGTGCGTGCCCCACTACGATAAAGGCGTGCGTCCGATATCTGTCAAAAAGTCGCCTGCTCTTATTTTACCTGCTAATGTATAGTGGTAGATAGGGCTTGAAAACCCAGGTAAATGTACCAAAATGTATAAGTATGGTGAAGCATATTGAATTTATGCCTATTTGCAATTTTCGGCTGTGACGACCATGCGCCCTGGGGTAGGGGTACCCCCAGGAATGGTATAAGGGGCTAGCTCAGTTAATTAAAAATAGTTCCATATAAAAGAATAACCATGAAAACCTAGGTAAATGTGCTATTTTTAAAATTTGACCCTAAATTCCACCAAATATATAAAATTGGATTTTTAGGATCTCATATAGAGGACCCTAAGGAATAAAAACCCATGAATGATAACTATTGCAATTTGTCCTGGGTTGGCCTTTTTGTTTATAGATTGACTGGCCTAATGATGCAGGTATGATACGTCGACGCGAATGTGATGACTCTGGAAATTCTGTAAGCAATAATGATTGCAGAACTATATACAAAAATATGTATGTTGAAATTAAATCAGAATTTATTACCTAATATACGAGTGAATTAAACTATTTCTCCGGTTTTCGTTTATGTATATGCTATAGTTTAATGCTTCTGTTCATGATGTTACATTCTGCCTAACTAATGCAAAAACAGCGCTTTAATAATTATTGTCAAGCCTTACCATTAAACATTTTTTAATGAATTATGTATTGTTATGTACTATCATTATTATTATTATTTTTATTATTATTATTATTATTAATATTATTAACTTAAATTGAAGTGTTCACTAGTACATTACAGTCTATCTAGTTTTCGTACGAACGCAAAGATATAAATCGATCAATATAATTACAGTGTAGTAGTCGATACAATTGAATGAGACAGAATATAATCGAATTATTCGACATACGTCGGTGCAAATGTGATGAATTACGAAATTCTGTGAGCATTATTGATTGCAGAACAGAGATAAGTATGTTGAAATCGAGTTGTAGTAAGAATTTATTATGAACGAACGAAATAAAAGTTACGTCAAACTATGGCTCCGGTTTATGTATATGTTAGTTACCTCCGCCAAGGGGTTGGCAGGAGGTTATGTTTAAATATGTTTCTATTTATATTGTTTCTATTTATGATGTTACATTCTGTTTAACTAATGGAAGAACAGCACTTAAATAGTTTGTATCAAGTCTTTCAAATCAACATTTGTCCGTGTAAAATAATAATAACAACAATCATAATAATAGTTATTATTATTATTATTATTATTATTATTAATACTACTACTACTACTACTACTACTACTACTACTACTACTACTACTACTAATACTACTACTACTACTACTACTAATTCTATAGCGTTCACTAGTGTATTGCAGCCCATCTGGTTTTCGTACAAACGCAAGTATATAAATCGACAAATATAATTACATGATAGTAGTCGATGCAAGTAACTGATACACAATATAATCGATATAATCGAATCCCAAAATAATATTATTGATAATAATAATAAATCGTATACATAACAACAGGGGTAAATAATGACAAATCTCATGACATGTTTGTCGTTATTCACCCCTGATAACAAAGCTACACGGTGCGCACGTAAACACGCGATAGACGTAGCGGCTAACAGGCTAAACATGCATACGTCACAGCGCGCGTGTGCTTGTGTGTGTATAATTTATGTGGGTGTAAGTATATATTACCTATATTACCTATGTTAAGTAACAAAGTAAACTACCGATGGTCCGGCAGCTAATGTTCCGGCACCATGTGTAGTCCGGCCAAAAATTACGCGCTTATGGAATTGTTTACACTGCACTTGTTGGTTGTGATCCGTACGATTTTGTGAGATGCTTAGATTATTTTGCTTCCATTTAATCCTAAACACCAGTCCATAGCGATCCCTTCATAACTGTACCTGTAATTTACAATTTGTTTAATTTAAGTTTCTAGCAGTCAACTGTGCTTTAGAGACACTGGAGATGTATAATTAGTGGGTCTCATGTGTATTGTTAAATAATTATTATGTGGTCTCTGTTAATCCACCATGGCATTGGAACCGACAAAAGTGCCAGCGCAGTGATGTACCTGTATATATATATATATAATTATACACATATATATATCGCGAGGATATCGTGGTTAAATCCGCAGATAACGGGAAACCCGTTGTTGCATGCAGGCGAGATATCTACATTCAGGAAGGTGAAAAACAACTTTCGGATAAGAATTTTGACTTTTGACTTTGAATTTAAAACTTGATTGTGATGCAGTTCGTGAAATTTAAATCTTCGCCTAAATTCTAATCACATCAATGATTTGTAATGACGATATAATTATGCGATAAATATATTTATCGATTACTATACACACGCACGTGCAGACGCACGCACGCACAGACCAACACACGCAAACGCGCATGAGCACGGAGCATGTTAAAGCATGGGACGTAATTATGTATTAATGTATTGTATTTTCAGTTTTTTGTCTCGCTTTTGTGAGTTGTTGTACTTAACAGAGGTCTTATTTTTATCAGTATCATCAAGAGCTAATAATATAATTAATAATAATTATTAGCTCTTGGTATCATCAGTATTATTAAGTACAATCTCTCTAGTTTAAATTCGGCTTAAAGTTTAATATTTTAAATATTTAGACGGCAATGTGTGCGCGTAGAATGATTCTCGACGCTCGCTGTTTGCATTTTGCAATTTTATATCTTGTATTTTTAGTGATACTTTGCATATCTAGCGTACTGCAGTGATTGTGTGCGCATTATTATGCATGTCGATTCTGCTTCTTATAAGAACAACCAGATTGATACGTTTCCGATGCACGCGCAACCAGAGGATAGCATGGCGTTTGAATCGAACCCCGATGGATACATTTTCCGTTCTATTTGGATATATATTTTGCGCGTTTGAACAAACAGA